AGTTCAGCATCTCTGTTTTGGTATAAATTTTTTTGTGCGCTTTATCACGATATTTCAGGGGGTCTTGACATACATCTCATTCACTTCCTTGCCTATAATGTATGCATATATAAGCAATGTAGATCCACTTGACGGTGTCAGTCAAGTGACACGTGTCATTTATTGGTTTACTAAGTGCCACCGGTGTCAATCAAGGGGTGACAAGTGTCATTTTTGTGTTTACCGAGTGCCACGGGCAGTTATGGGAGATATAGAGCACCAACAGCTGTGTAAACAGCTGATCAGCTGACAAAAACAGCTGTACCGAGATCAGCTGTTAAACAGCCGATCCTGTGTAAACAGCCGATCAGCCCAGCTGGGCGAGAGCTGTTCCCTCATGGCAGCTGTAAGGATTCTTTTTGTATTTTGTTTGTATTATATGTACATTTACACCATTGTGTAATTACGTATATATGTATTTACCATTGTGTTTAATGTTATTTTTTTCCTCCAAAGGCTTGCCGTGTGTGAATAGCCTACATTGCCGACTTACTGCACTCAAACTATACATGGTAAGTGCATTTTTTTGCTATCGTATCCTGGTATCGACATATATTTTTGCATAGATGTGCGTCACATAATTTAGGTTTGTGTCTTTGCGGTAATAGTTATTAAATTAGTTTGTCAAGTTGCCATACTCAAACTAGCAGTTAGTAAGCTTGAATCGCCATGTTTCGTTCTATATTTTTAGGAAGAAAACCAATGGGTTAGGATTTATTGTCTTTTTTTAGAGGTTACGGGAGGATAATTTTCATTGCCCTGTGTCCCAAAATGTGGGAATACGAATTAATAGTAAGGTTTCGTAATCTCCATTATTTTAGGAGTCGCCATTCGTCCGTGGCATTTGCTACACCTAAAGTATAACAATTAATATATTAATTTTTTTTCCGTAATATCCTTATGATTTACTGCAATTTACAGTAAAATAATGTTTACATTTTCTACACCATAGGGGAGGGAGTAAAATTAAGTTTTTCACCTCGTCACGGCCAAAGTATACCTAAATTTTATTTAGATATTTGTCCAAAAATCGCCATTTTTTTCCCTACATTAATTTGTGTAAATTATTATTTTTCAAAGAAATGCGTAACGGTGCAACGAGCCGGAAATAATTGGTCACTTAAAGGGTTTTTGTTATATAAATATATATATACAATAAATATATACAGAAGCGACTACTGTGTCTACATTCTACCCGAACCAGGCAAACGAATATTTTCTTTCACTTCATTAGTGATTGAAATCCGTCTTTAGCTGTTCCTTATTTATGTAGATATGACGGCATAACTTGACTGGAATCCCAGCCAAGGAAACATAAGAATTAAGAAACATTAGGACATAAGAATTTTATCTTGTTCAATTACCCTCCACCTCCAAAGGGTAATTGTCAACTGTTATATCTTGAGGAAAAATTGTTGGTCTTCCAGTACCCAAACTATGCATTATGTAAGGCATTTTTTTTGCCATAGTTTCCTCGTAATCCATATAGATTTTTTGCAACCAAATTTAGGTTTGAATTCTTATTGTGTCTTTGCGGGAATCGAGGGTTAAATTCGTTACTGCCATGTCGCCGCGCCCAAACTAGCAGTTGGCAAGTTATTAAGCTTTAATAAGTGTTTTGTTCTATATTTTTTAACTAAAAAATTTCCATTTTCATCCCCCCCCCCTTACGCCCAGAATATAGCGATAGGAATTTATGGCAATTACTCGTAATTTTCATATATTTAACTTTATAGGCTTTTTTATTTTTATTTTTGGAGTCACTAGAGAGAAAAAGCTTCATTCAAAGGTAAGGAATTGTTTGAAAATTGCTCGCAATCTCCATATGATTTACTGCAAGTTTGCAACAAAAATAACGTTTTGTTGTAAACTGGCATAAGTTTACAACAGGAATTGGGGAGGAGAGAGGGTGTAAAATTACTTTTCTTACCTTGCCAAGTCCAAAGTGGTGTACTTAATGGTAATTATCTACTTATATACAAGAGAGTACATTAGGGGGGGGGGTTAAGAGAGAACATAGTTATGAAGTTGATTTTACAATCTTGTAAAGCACGCATAGCGTTTCGGGCAAGTCCTTAAACTAATATAAATTTAAGTAGATAATCTACAGTAGAATTGACAATAAATGTTAATAGGTACTTTACAGCTTACTTACAGCAGGTACAGGTTATTTTAAGTAGATAAATTCCAGTAAAATTTACAGTTTTTTTACAGATCTACAAAAATAGAGATTAGGATAATACACAGTAATAACAAAACACTATAATGAACAAGGATTTCAAGGTACATTAGGGTACATTAGGATAACTTATCTGAGTTATACATTGGTTCATTGTAGCACAATTTGAGGATCATTTCAAGGAATAATGCAGTAGAATATGCACTCATTATAACAACCATGATATCAGATGATATCAAAGATTACAATGGTAGAGTAATATGGCTTAGGTACATATATTGAGGGATTTGGAAGCACTAGATAGATACAGTGCGAGTTAAAGCACTAGGTAGGAAATTATGAAGATGAAATTAGGTACTTTTTGGTTTTATTTTTGAATAAGGCAAAAGTTGGACAGCTTTTGAATTCATTAGAGAGTAAGTTCCATAGACTAGATCCCTTTATTTGCATAATGTTTACACAGATTGTTTGACTCTAGGGATATCATAGATATTTGTCTGGTGTGGTGGGTATGTGATCTATTACATCTGTCCAGGAAGTGTTTCAGTATAAAACAACAGTAGTATATATTTAAAGCAACAGTATATATTTACTGCTAGGTGGCTAGAAGCATCAGATGAAAGGAAAAGTTGCTCAAATGCTTCTGTCTTGCCGCAGGAGTTGAACCCGTGAACTTGCGGGAGTGTCACGGCTTCAGTATTAAGCGTTGATTAAAACATGGATAATGAAGCCCATAAACAGTTTTATGACTGAGGAGAGATGTACAGGTTTCGTAATTGTTGATCAATTCTGGCTTGTATAGTATCAAATTTCACAGTAATTGGCGGGAATGAAAAAACAATCAAGATTTTTACTTTTCCATAATTATTTATTGTTCATATTACACCATATATAACAACAGTTACCATGAACAGTCTCGACCTGAACAATTCCTGTGCTAATACAAAAACATTTACTTATACAACAAAGACATTTTCTTACATCTAAAGATCACATATGTTAGTGTTACTTGTTCGGTCTTGTTCCAGTGTCAAAATTACTTGGTACGGATCTTAAGTGCTAAGTCTTAAACGGTATTAGTTGGGTGATGAATAAGTGGGTGTAGCAGCCTAATGGGCCGCCGGCCGCACTTGAAGGGTTATGGGCCGCATTTAGAAGGGTTATGGGCCGCATTTAGAAGGGTTATGGGCCGCATTTAGAAGGGTTATGGGCCGCGTTTAGAAGGGTTATGGGCCGCGTTTAGAAGGATTATGGGCCGCATTTAGAAGGGTTATGGGCCGCGTTTAGAAGGGTTATGGGCCGCGTTTAGAAGGATTATGGGCCGCGTTTAGAAGGGTTATGGGCCGCGTTTAGATGGATTATGGGCCGCATTTAGAAGGGTTATGGGCCGCGTTTAGAAGGGTTATGGGCCGCGTTTAGAAGGATTATGGGCCGCATTTAGAAGGGTTATGGGCCGCGTTTAGAAGGGTTATGGGCCGCGTTTAGAAGGGTTATGGGCCGCATTTAGAAGGATCATGGGCCGCATTTAGAAGGATTATGGGCCGCGTTTAGAAGGGTTATGGGCCGCATTTAGAAGGGTTATGGGCCGCGTTTAGAAGGATTATGGGCCGCATTTAGAAGGGTTATGGGCCGCGTTTAGAAGGGTTATGGGCCGCATTTAGAAGGGTTATGGGCCGCGTTTAGAAGGGTTATGGGCCGCATTTAGAAGGGTTATGGGCCGCATTTAGAAGGATCATGGGCCGCATTTAGAAGGATCATGGGCCGCATTTAGAAGGATCATGGGCCGCATTTAGAAGGATCATGAGCCGCATTTAGAAGGATTATGGGCCTCATGTTTGACACACCTGATCTAAGAGTCCTAATTAAAAAAAATTCTAATTATAATAAACTTATTTTGATTAAGAGAGCACATGATGACTCGCAGGTTGCTAAAGATCAACTTTAGCAATATACACTAAGGCCAGTCAGGATATAAAGGATTTACGTGTTCATTTACGAAGCCTGTGTATCTTAACTCGATCATGGTGGCTTAATCTGTATTTAGTAAACTGTTTACAAACATGCAAACTAAACGACCCAAGGTTATTGTTCTAGACAAACTCGTAAAGGGTTTAAGTTGTTAGATTTAGGTACTCGGAACGAAAAATCCATGTAGCACGGGCTATGGTGAGCCCGTAATGTGTTTAAGCCTGGCGTTGCCTTATAAATTGATTTGAAGTGGCGTGAATGTAAATGTAAAACTCCGAAATCTTAATTCTAAATTATATAGACTAGATCTGAGGGTTGATACGGAGAAAAGGTCATTCTAAATATGACTTAGTTACTTAGACTTAAAACTAATATGTACAGATAAATGGCTGAGGCTAGAGTCCGTACATGAACTTAAGTAGCGTTTTGGTCTGTGTAATCCAGTCACAATTGCAAGGTCCCGGGTTTGATTCCCCTGACGGGATACAGCTGTTTGGGCTTTTTTTCTAACGCCTTTGTTCTCCTAGCATTAAATTGCTACTCAGGGGTTTGGTAACTGTTGTGGGTTCATTTGGAAGAACCCGTCAAGGAGCCAGATTCACGAAAGCACTTACGCAAGCACTTACGAATGTATACATCTTTCCTCAATCTTTGATGGCTTTGGTTACATTTATTAAACAGTTTACAAGCAGGAAAACTTACCATTCAACTGTTGTTATTGTTATAAACAGCCTCCTGGTGCTTCGGAGCTCATTAACTGTTCAATACAGTAATTGTAAACAAAGCCGCCAAAGATTGAGAAAAGATGTACAGGTTCGTAAGTACTTGCGTAAGTGCTTTCGTGAATCTGGCCCCAGGTCTCTTTAGGCTTAGGAGAAAGACTAACTTAAAGTTTACAGCCCACTACAGTTACCTATCTCCTGAATACCCATTTTTGCTAATTGAATAGAGGGATCGGGTACAAGAAAGCTTATTCAAACGTCTCGTCATGCCCAGGAATCGAACTCGGGGTCCAAATGCCTGTGAGCCGACGGTGCTAATGACTGCAAACAATGTCAGCTGGATCAGCAGAATTTATATGTTTTGAGAATAGAAAACGAGCATAAACACATGACTATACTCCCTAACGTTTCTGTAAACGTTACTACAACGTCTCTGTAAACGTTATTACAACGTCTCTGTAAAAGTTACTACAACGTCTCTGTAAACGTTACTACAACGTCTCTGTAAACGTTATTACAACGTCTCTGTAAACGCTATTACAACGTTTCTGGGAGCATTATTGCAACGTTTCTGTAAACGTTATTGCACCGTTTCTGTAAAAGGTATTACCACGTTTCTGTAAACGTTATTACAACGTCTCTATAAACGTTATTACAACGTTTCTGTAAACGTCATTACAACGTTTCTGTAAACGTTGTTACAACGTTTCTGTAAACGTTATTACAACGTTTCTGTAAACGTTATTACATCGTTTATCGGTGTATGTAGCCTCCCTTTCCTCAGTAGCCGTAGATCTGCAGAATATCTGCGACAACATGAGCGTCGAACGGATGAGGAGGGAGAGTGAGTCCTTGAGGTATGCCTGGCTCACTTTAATTAAGGGTAGCCGCCTGGGCACTTGGGCCTTATCGTCACGTAATTCTGCTTGTAGACGGTGGTGGTGATGTACTGATTGTGCGTCGCAAGGGTCGGGATGTACTCCTTCACTTGCTGCGTGACGATAACCGGGTCCCGTTGAATTATGGGCACCGGGGCGCCGTCGTAGACTGAGGTGATGGCGTGGTTGTACTCTGTCTTGGTGACGATCTGCGGGGGGCCGTACCTGGTGACGTACCTGGGCACGTACTGGGGCACGGACACGTACTCCGTCTGCGTCTTGTACACCACCGAAGGTACCACCTTGACCTGTTTGGTAAATCAACGTGAATCATATACCAGGCCAGATTCACGAAGCAGTTACGCAAGCACATCTTTTCTCAATTTTTGGTAGCTTTGTTTACAATTATTAAACAGAGCTCCAAAACACCAGGAGGCTGTTTATAACAATAACAACAGTTGATTGGCAAGTTTTCATGCTTGTAAACTGTTTAATAAATGAAACCAAAGCCGTCAAAGATTGAGGAAAGATGTACACGTTCGTAAGTGCTTGCGTAACTGCTTCGTGAATCTGGTCTCAGGATCTACTAATTAACAATATGCGGAAAATAGAGTCGTATATATGCCGTTGTTTAATGCATTGTGATTGTGGTTCATTTCGCTATTGACAGGACCGGAAAGTTATCCCCCCCTCTATGACAGGAGAGACGGTAAGTTACCCCCCCCTCTATGACAGGAGAGACGGTAAGTTACCCCCCCCCTCTATGACAGGAGAGACGGTAAGTTACCCCCCCCCCCTCTATGACAGGAGAGACGGTAAGTTACCCCCCCCCTCTATGACAGGAGAGACAGTAAGTTACCCCCCCCCCCTCTATGACAGGAGAGACGGTAAGTTACCCCCCCCCTATGACAGGCGAGACGGGAAGTTAACCCCATATGACAGGAGAGACGGGAAGTTCCCCCCCCTTATGACAGAGACGGGAAGTTACCCCCCCCCCCATTCCTATGACAGGAGAGACGGGAAGTTATCCCCCATATGACAGGAGAGACGGGAAGTTACCCCCCATATGACAGGAGAGACGGGAAGTTACCCCCCATATGACAGGAGAGACGGGAAGTTACCCCCCATATGACAGGAGAGACGGGAAGTTACCCCCCATATGACAGGAGAGACGGGAAGTTACCCCCCATATGACAGGAGAGACGGGAAGTTACCCCCCTCCCCCATATGACAGGAGAGACGGGAAGTTACCCCCCATATGACAGGAGAGACGGGAAGTTACCCCCCATATGACAGGAGAGACGAAGTTACCCCCCATATGACAGGAGAGACGGGAAGTTACCCCCCTCCCCCATATGACAGGAGAGACGGGAAGTTACCCCCCATATGACAGACGAAACGAAATAAGTTACCCCCAAATGACAGGAGAAACGGAAAGTTACCTCTGTGACAGTGGCGTACTCGGAGGGCGGCAAGATGACGGACTTGGCCACAGTCTCGACCCTGACGTCCGGCACCGTAGCCACTCTGGTCTTGGTGACCGTGTCCGTCAGCACCACCGTCCGCAGGTAGGGCTCGTAGCTGACCTCGACCGTGCTCTGGTACACGTTGTTGGTCAGCACCTCCGTCTCCGTCTGCAGGAGGAAGGAATGAAGACCTGGCTGGATCATTCTTTGGCCGGGGAAAGGGTGCAAGGGGGTGGAGAAGATGGTTGCCGAAGAGCGGGGACAAGAGTTGCCGAAGAGCGGGGACAAGAGTTGCCGAAGAGCGGGGACAAGAGTTGCCGAAGAGCGGGGACAAGAGTTGCCGAAGAGCGGGGACAAGAGTTGCCGAAGAGCGGGGACAAGAGTTGCCGAAGAGCGGGGACAAGAGTTGCCGAAGAGCGGGGACAAGAGTTGCCGAAGAGCGGGGACAAGAGTTGCCGAAGAGCGGGGACAAGAGTTGCCGAAGAGCGGGGACAAGAGTTGCCGAAGAGCGGGGACAAGAGTTGCCGAAGAGCGGGGACAGAGTTGCCGAAGAGCGGGAAGAGTCGCCGAAGGTAGGCAGGTAGGGAGGGACTGACTTAGTGAGATGCCAAAGGGAGATGATGAGCTTTAAAACAAGAGACTACGACCAAATGAACATTGCTAAAATGTGGATTTTGAACAGTAAACATTTGATTTAGCCTGCCATGTTGTTTCTCACACACAGGAAGTACAAAGCGGAAGAAGGAAGATGATTGTAATATTATTTTCTCCCGTTTATACAAGGTGAAAGAGAGTTAGGAATCCAAGAGTGATACATGAAAATAGTAATAGTGCAGATAAAACAGTAAACTAAGAGTTTGCATCAGAAATGAACCAAAATTGTAAGCCAAGATCATTCTCGTTTAGAGAGAAAAGTAAGAAACTTGTGGGAGAAAGTTCAATCTATACAAGAAGCTGCCGATTTAGACAACGTACCAGTGTGACGTATTTAATCTTGGGGACGACGATAGACTTGGTGTAGGTGACGGTTACTCTGTCTGTCAAGACGTCGGTAACGTAAGCGGTGTCAAGTTGCCGCGCGAACTTGGTCTGATAGATCACATGCGGCACCACGTTCTCGACGAACTCTGTGTGATAGACGGGTACCTGGTAGGAGAGACAGACACTGATTACCCAGGTTGTACCACAGCTCTTGGGGCAGGTGGTACCATAGCTCTTGGCCCAGGTGGTACCATAGCTCTTGGCCCACGTGGTACCATAGCTCTTGGCCCAGGTGGTACCATAGCTCTTACCCACCACCCGTCCTCCTAATAGAACGTATAGCATTTTGAGGTATAGGCTACCTAAGGCCAACAATCGTCGTACTAGAAAATGGAAGCGGCTGGCGGAAATTGACACACTGTCCCGTTTTCTGTTTTGGGTCCTCTGGTAGGTTAGGCTAAGCGCACTTTTAGTACGACGGTTTTATGACGTTGGGAAATCTTAGGAGGACGGACTGTACTAATAGAAACATGTGACTAAGGCGCAGTTATTACTAATAGATAGAATCATTATGAATGAAAACACCTGCTGCAGGTGTGGATCATTATGAATGAAGCCACCTGCTACAGGTGTGGATCATTATGAATGAAGACACCTGCTGCAGGTGTGGATCATTATGAATGAAGCCACCTGTAACAGGTGTGGATCATTATGAATGAAAACACCTGCTACAGGTGTGGATCATTATGAATGAAGACACCTGCTACAGGTGTGGGCGGTGTACCGTGATTATCATCATCTAGCTATGGTTCCACGGTCTGGGCTTCAGTTCTTGGGTCCCGCCTCTCAACTGTGTGGCGCCTATTTCTACTTTTTCATTCCCTGCCCACCTATAGTGCCTTTAATTTCTTTACTGCTTTCATATTGAAGAAATTCTTCTAATATCCCTGTGGATCGTTCAATTATTTAGTTATGTTTTAATTGTTCGTTCCCTTTGTCAAACAGCCTATCCTTGTTTGACAAAGGATAGGCTGGATAGGATTGACAAAGGATATCCTAACCCCCCCCATCAAATTCCCCGAGTATTTTGTATGTTGTGATCAAGTCTATGCCTTTTCTCTAGTGAAGTGAGGGTAATTTTCTTAGTTTTTCATTGTTTTTTTTCGCCTCAGTTTTGGGACTAGTCTGGTGGCCTACTTGAAGATTTTCTTCAGGTGTGTGTGTGTGTGTGTGTGTGTGTGTGTGTGTGTGTGTGTGTGTGTGTGTGTGTGTGTGTGTGTGTGTGTGTGTGTGTGTGCGCGCGCGCGCGTACTCACTCACCTAGTTGTGTCTGCAGGATCGAGCATTGACTCTTGGATCCCGCCTTTCGAGCATCAGTTGTTTACAGCAATGACTCCTGTCCTATTTCCCTATCATACCTGGTTTTAAAATTATGAATAGTATTTGCTTCCACAACCTGTTCCTGAAGTGCATTCCATTTCCCCACTACTCTCACGCTAAAAGAAAACTTCCTAACATCTCTGTGACTCATCTGAGTTTCAAGCTTCCATCCATGTCCTCTCGTTCTGTTACTATTCCGTGTGAACATTTCGTCTATGTCCACTCTGTCAATTCCTCTGAGTATCTTATACGTTCCTATCATGTCCCCCCTCTCCCTTCTTCTTTCTAGTGTCGTAAGGCACAGTTCCCTCAGGCGCTCTTCATACCCCATCCCTCGTAGCTCTGGGACGAGTCTCGTTGCAAACCTCTGAACCTTTTCCAGTTTCATTATATGCTTCTTCAGATGGGGACTCCATGATGAGGCGGCATACTCTAAGACTGGCCTTACGTAGGCAGTGTAAAGCGCCCTAAATGCCTCCTTACTTAGGTTTCTGAATGATGTTCTGAATGTGTGTGTGTGTGTGTGTGTGTGTGTGTATTCACCTATTTGTGCTTGCTGGAGTAAGCCATAGCTCTTGGACCCCGCGTTTAGCATCGTTGGTTGTCTAATGTACCGATTCTCGTCCTATTTTCTCATATATATATATATATATATATATATATATATATATATATATATATATATATATATATATATATATATATATATATATGTTAATTATGCGCGCGCACACATTAGCCCGCAGCTGCTATTTAACTCCCAGGTACCTGTTTACTGCTAGGTGAACAGCGGCATTAGGTGAAATGAAACGTTACCCAAATAGTTTCAATCCCTACTTTGGGATTGAGTCCAGGTCACTGAAACTCAATCCCAAACGTCGCAACATGTTTGAAACGTGTATGGGACGTCCCAACGTGTTTGAAACGTGTATGGGACGTCTCAACGTGTTTGAAACGTGTATGGGACGTCCCAACGTGTATGGGACGTTTCAACGTGTTTGAAACGTATATGGGACGTCCCAACGTGTTTGAAACATGTATGGGACGTCCCAACGTGTTTTAAACATGTATGGGACGTCCTAACGTGTTTTAAACGTGTTAGGGACGTCCCAACGTGTTTCAAACGTCCCACCGCCGTTTGAAACGTGTTTGAAACGTCTCAACGTGTAGGAAACATGTTTCAAACGTCCCAACGTGTTTGAAACGTGTTTAAGATGTTAAAACTTGCAACCTACCGGATGAGCTTCGGTGATATAGTTGGTGACGTAGTGGGTGAGAGGCACGCATTTGGGCACTTGCATCTTGAGAGGGGGTGATTTTGGGGGAGGAGGGGGCAGAGGCTTGGGGGGCAGAGGCTTGGGCGGCAGAGGGGGCGGGTGGGGAGGGGCCACGGGGGTTGGGACGGGAATAGTAACAATGTGACTTTCCCCTCCCCCGTAACCCCCACCTTTTCCCTTGCTGGTGAACCCTTCCCCCACCTCCCCCAGGTACGACAACCCCTTCTTAATGTTGCTCATTATGCTGTCAAAGGCGCCCTTCTTCTTGTCCTCGAAGTCCCCGTACTCTTCGTACTCGGAGATCACAGGGATGGCGGCATATGAGATGGGCGGGTGACCGTAGCCGCCGCCTCCACCATAGCCGCCAATGCCGTGGCCGCCGCCAACGCCATAGCCGCCGCCAATGCCGTGGCCGCCGCCAATGCCGTGGCCGCCGCCAATGCCGTAGCCGCCAACGCCGCCGCCAATGCCGTAGCCGCCAACGCCGCCGCCGAAGCCGCCTATACCGCCGCCACCATAGCCAACACCGCCGCCGTATCCACCTCCGAAGCCGCCACCACAAGAGCCTTTCTCGGCCAGGAACGCGACGCTGGCCGCCCACAGCACCAGCACCCGCAGCCTCGCCATCACTACTGCAGGAGATAACACAATATACTACTAGTAGTTATTGACCGGTATTAAACTTTAAATCAATCAAATACACAATTCCAGTTAGTATGTATCTGTACCACTACGGTATATACACCCAGGCATATTTCGAAAGTAGATCTCCGTCAGTCTCGGGAGACTATGGATTAAAATTAAATTTTGCCCCGAGGGGCGAGTTTATTGGGCAGCGTCCCTCATCCTGTGAGTGGACACACCGCCATAGTGACAGTATTGGGCAGCGTCACTCACCCTGTGAGTGGACACACCGCCATAGTGACAGTATTGGGCAGCGTCCCTCATCCTGTGAGTGGACACACCGCCATAGTGACAGTATTGGGCAGCGTCACTCATCCTGTGAGTGGACACACCGCCATAGTGACAGTATTGGGCAGCGTCACTCATCCTGTGAGTGGACACACCGCCATAGTGACAGTATTGGGCAGCGTCACTCATCCTGTGAGTGGACACACCGCCATAGTGACAGTATTGGGCAGCGTCACTCATCCTGTGAGTGGACACACCGCCATAGCAGCATGTACAACACTCCCCAAAAGGAAGAAAACCCGCTGGGTTGTTCATCCTGTCACTTGTACCCAGACACAGCTGGGACTTGCTTAACTGTCTCAAGTGAACAGTTTATTAAACAAGATCTGTCAAGATACGGATCTGTCAACCGTAAAAGCTTGCGTTATCTTGCGAGTGCAAAATGGGGGAATCTTTTTAAGCACAGTATCAATATTTGATAAATAGTGTTTTCCTAATTGAAACAATGTGGGGGTTTATTATTCTACACATACTTCTGGTTATCTGGAGTGGCCTCTCCAGAGCGCAAAGCCAGGGTAGGTTGATACGGGGGAGAAGCTGTCACCCATGCAGCAGGTCCGTTTAGTATTTATAAAAAAAATAACCTAATGTCTTCCAGTTTTGAACTACATGCAATCAGCCCTCTTATAGACACACTAACAATATTTGTATATACACATTTTGTCAGTTAATTGCCGCGGGTTAGTTTTATAAAGGGATTCAAGTGCAATATAGGTTGTTTCTGGGGGTTATTCAAGAGTCAGTAGTATTCAACTAAGACAATATCTACTGACGATTGCGGCAGTTAATAATTACATTGAAATATGTTAATAAATTATAAATATAGCCTTTATAAATATAAAAAGTTACTGTATATTAAACCTACCGCTGCGTGTTAGAAAACATTAAAATTGTTTAATTAATAGTTTGCATGATGATGAAATTCGAAATTTATTAATTTTTCTAATTTTCCTTTCTAATTTATTAATGTATTTTAATTGGTCTTGACACTGTTGCTTAAAGCAGATGAAAAGTCGCAATAACGTTGCTGGTAAAATGTTGACCAAACCACACACTAGACATTGAAATATGTTGACCAGACCACACACTAGAAGTTGAAGGGACAACGACGTTTCGGTCCGTCCTGGACCATTCTCAAGTCGATTGTGTTCATCAATCGAGACAATCGACTTGAGAATGGTCCCGGACGGACCGAAACGTCGTCGTCCCTTCACCTTCTAGTGTGTGGTCTGGTCAACATACTTCAGCCACGTTATTGTGACTCATCGCCTGCATAGAAATTGAAGAATCGACTCTCTAATGTCCAGGACGGACCGAAACGTCGTTGTCTCTTAAATTTCTTAGTGTGGTTTAGTCAACTGTTGCTTACTTGAGTGAAGATGCAAAGGGCGTAGGTAGTAAGAGATCCCAGACAGGGCCAACGGGTGACTGAACTCCAAGCCTGGCTGCCCATGGCTTATATAGCCTCTGCCCCCCCAATCTCCCACTAGAGTGCCTTCAGATGCTAATTTTCTTAATTATGTACCCCTGTAACCATTCTGTAGAGGGGGGTTGAAAGATGGTTACATGGATACTGGCTACAGGAGCTGTACTTCAGGGGTCTTTCAAGTTAATTTGGTATGTGTATATGTGGACGTTATATGTATGTTGGTGTTGGTTTATGTACCGTGGACTTCACAGCGGCTAGTGAGCCGAGGAATCCCAGAAAAACTTGCTGTGCGAGTGTGTGGGGGGAGAGAGGGTGGGGTGGGGTGGGGGGGGGGTGTGAGGGGGAGAGGGAGGTGTGTGAGGGGGAGATTGAGGTGTGAGAGTGAGGGGGTAAGGGGGTTGTGAGGGGGAGAGGGAGGTGTGAGTGGGGGGTGTTGTGAGGGGTGAGGGAGAGGGGGTGTGTGAGGGTGAGGGGGGGGTGTTGTGAGGGAGAGGGGGTGTGTTGTGAGGGAGAGGGGGTGTGTGAGGGTGAGGGGGGGGTGTTGTGAGGGGTGAGGGAGAGGGGGTGTGTGAGGGTGAGGGGGGGGTGTTGTGAGGGTGAGGGGGGGGGGTGTTGTGAGGGGTGAGGGAGAGGGGGTGTGTGAGGGTGAGGGGGGGGGGTGTTGTGAGGGGTGAGGGAGAGGGGGTGTGAGGAGGGAGAGGGGGTGTTGTGAGGGAGAGGGGGTGTTGTGAGGGAGAGGGTGTTGTGAGGAGGGAGGGTGTTGTGAGGGAGAGGGGGTGTGAGGAGGGAGAGGGTGTTGTGAGGGTGAGGGGGGGTGTGTGTGTGAGGGTTTGTGGTTCAACTCATTGTTTCACCTAACTTGACTAACTCATATTTCTCATTGTTTTCACGCTTCACTTCTCAGTTTATAGATTTTATACAAAAGATAATCAATTTTGCTTTCGTTAAAATCTTCATTTTCCTCAGCCCCAAAAAATCACACTTTTTCGTGAAATATTTTAATGCGTGTTGGTAAATGTTGTTAGTCATGCTCTCTAAATTAGATATCAATATTTTACTAAATATATTAATAAATTTGTATTTTAAACTGATGAGAGTTAAGATTATTTTATTAATAAAGCCAGAGAGAGAGTTTCAAAGCAGTATAAAATTGTATGTTATTTTGTTCACGCCGAGGTATTATTTAATTCAGCTTTAATTCAAATTATTATTACTTCTTGAATTATGTCTTCACTTGGAATTTGTAAAGTAAAATATTGAAAGAATAATGAGGCTTATTTGGCGGGGATAAATCGACTCATAGCCTCTGCATTTTCGCAGAGACTTCATTTTATTGAAATTAAATATGGTTTTATTTACATAGATATTTTTGTAACTTGCTACAAGCTCTCTCATTTTGGTGTAAATTATGTTAATATGGCTTATTTTGCCGGTTTTATCAACTCTAGAAAATGCCATACCTCTGTCAAACGCAATTCGCACAATTCTATAACTGGAATGCAGCCTAATTATTGTTTTTTTTTCTAAATGGTCATTTTATTAGCTTCAAGTTTCTAAGATATTTTACTTTATACACTGCAGCTCTTCTTCGGTTGTTTTCGCCCCCTTGTTGCTTATCTGTAGTTCCGGAGACGCTACAATTAGTATCATCAGTCCCCCTGAACTATATCTTTAACCTTCCATTGCAAAGTTGCATTCATTCTCTGTTCAACGACTCCATATATGACTAATTCTATAGCCCCCTGGTCTAAGGAACATTTGAGCTGTGCACCTTATTTTCTGGCATGGTCAGGTGGTTCTCGCATTGGATCATATTATCACAACTGTTTCCTCTCGCCAAACCAATGGAACGCATTACACAATTCTAATTTCACACCCGCAATAATAATTAAGAGTTACTCATCTAATTGTGCTTACGGGGGTTGAGCTTTGGCTCTTTGGTCCCGCCTCTCAACTGTCAATCAACTGGAGTTGATGATCTCACAGTGTGTTGGAACTCACAGACTGTTGTTTAATACAGACTACCATACCATGATGAAGGTAAGAGGCACAGATCTCGTAGGTGGATACTAAAATAATAATAATAATTTTGAGATATATACAAGAGTTGTTACATTCTTGTAGAGCCACTAGTACGCGTAGCGTTTCGGGCAGGTCCCTGGAATACGATCCCCGCCGCGAAGAATCGTTGTTACAACCAAGTACACATTTTACTGTTGCGTTAAACAGAGGCTACAGTTAAGGATTTGCGCCCAGTAAATCCTCCCCGGCCAGGATACGAACCCATGACAAAGCGCTCGCGGAACGCCAGGCGAGTATCTTACCACTATACCACGGAGACTAAATAATAATAATTTATTTAGTAACAGTACATACATGGTTGCAGCGTTACAGTACAAACATTATTAGATTTAAAGATAGAGGTAGCACATACAATACCTAATGTCACTAGTACGCATAGCGTTTCGGGCAATACTAAATACAGTCTCCGTGGTGTAGTGGTAAGACACTCGCCTGGCGTTCCGCGAGCGCTGTCATGGGTTCGTATCCTGGCCGGGGAGGATTTACTGGGCGCAATTCCTTAACTGTAGCCTCTGTTTAACGCAACAGTAAAATGTGTACTTGGTTGTAACAACGATTCTTCGCGGCAGGGGATCGTATTCCAGGGACCTGCCCGAAACGCTACGCGTACTAGTGGCTCTACAACCATGTAACAACTCTTGTATATATCTTAAAAAAAAAATAAATAAATAAATAAATGCTCTACGAATCCTGGGGCTTCTTCAGTCACCAGGACAGGATTCAGCTAATGTCCTACGAAACCTGTACATCTGCCTTCAATCATGGCGGCATCGTATGCGTTGATTAAAGAGTTTAGGGCGTTCGGAAACGTTACGAGGCTGTTTATAACAATAATAACCTTGAGTTGTGAATTTACAAGCTTGTGTTAATACACGATAGATTTAAAGATGTATAGGTATCGTAAGTGGACACGGAAGTGTTTGATGAATCTTGGCCCTGGGCAACCATCGAGCTTTCACGCCCAGTTAGGCGCCTTCTTGGCCAGGGGCACGATCGTTAAGTAATGCCTTAAAGGAAATCTTAAGAATCCAGTCACTAGTTTAGCGACATATCGTTTCTAATAGTAGTGCAAGAGTATTTAATTCGCTTCAACGATAACTTCGTTAATCTTGGAGTCGCTGCCTATTTATGAAGGGGAAAACAC